AAACATGACCCCGGGCGATTGCAAAGCCATGAATTAATCAAATATGAATTAAACGAATCCTCGAGGCAGAGAATTTGACTCGAGGATTTTTTGTACTCGAATTATTCGAGGTACTCGAGGAATCGTTTCAGCTCTAGTTTTAATTATTTTGTCACTCTGTTTGGAATCAACATAATATAGAATTACATGCTTTAGGTAGATCTAAATCATTTAGAATTTTGGCCGGTAAAAAATATGCTTGGCCGGTGAGTAAAAAATTTAATTTCGGACTCTGCATACAAGGCAGGGTGGATCCAGGCTTTCAAGTTGCTGCCATCAGATTCTGACTGACCATCTGAGTGTTGCCGCTGAAACCAAGTCCTCAGACCTTCTCCTATTGTCCGTCGTGATCTGCTGTTGTCCAGGTTTAACATGTGGTGGTTATGAGATGTTACTCTACAGACCTTGGTGGTACGGGTGTTTCTCGTGTCTGCTCACTCCTCCTTTGACCTCTGACGTTAACGAGACGTTATCATCCATGCTGGATACTTTTCTCAAACACTGAAATACTCAAACCAGCACATCTGGCACCAAAAACCATTCAAAGATTCTTCATCACATCTGGATGAATACATGTATCCATTCACTGTTGTGATTGGCTGATTTGTCTCTTTGTGCTACCAAACATGTACATAATAAAACGTAGAATCATACTCTCTTTAACTTTAGTTTGTAGCAGGTTTAGTTTTTGGGTGCATCTTTAATCCTAAATTACCTTTCCGTGAGAATCCCAGCCTGGACACACAATCTGTCCGTCCCTCTGCGTTAAGCTGAGAGACGTCTAGCAGGTGGCAACACGGTAAATTGTGCTTTAGAAGCAGCCAGTGAAGCATTGTAGTCAGGGAACACCTGCTGTAGCCAGTCTAATGGAGATGGACAGACAGGCGGCTGAGGGAGAGAGAGGGAGATTATTATTGTCTGGGACAGGATGGGTGTCGTTGAAACGCAAAGATGGAGGAGTTCGTTTTTTTTAAACACAGCATTACCTTTCCTGGGAGTGAGACTGTACGTAGGATCTGTGGAGAAACGTTCAGGAAGCTGACAGCTCACGGTGAAAAAAGTTGCAAGGAGGGAAAGAGGGGGAGCGTGAGAGGAGGAGGAGGAGGAAGGTAGGCAACAGGCCTCTGTTTCCAGGGCAACCACCACCTCGCCCACGGCAACAAACTTCCTGCTCTGATGAAGCAGACTGAGATGGGTGGGGTAGCAGAGGCAGTGGATTCACAGCTAACGACGAAGAGAGATAAAACGGCAAACAAACAAAAGTCATGCTCATTTCACCCTTTTTCTTATTTAGGTTTCCGTCATCTCTTTATTCTCTTTCTTCTTCTTTTTTTCTTCTATTCCAGGAACTCTTTGTCTCTATGCAATTGTTCTGTGATGATGCACAGCTCTCTGCTGCCTCCTGCAGGCTTCCTCTGCAACAACATGCCGACGCTCCTCTTTTCATTCACTAAACAGCAGTTCTGGTTTCAGTCACTTCAGCTTTTCCCGCCTCGCCGCTCTTCTAACAAAGAATTTAGTTTTTCCTCATCATTAAAAACCGAATAATGAATTAATCATTAATCACGACTTATACCTGCAGCTTTTTATTTAAATCAAACCTTTTCATGCTGACATTTGTTTTCGACTGGCAACAACTTGTCACATTGCAGCTGTCTGTTAGCCAATCACACGAGAGCACTCTTAGCACCCTGAATTAGCGTTCTGTCTGACATGAAACCCGTTTTCTTTCTACTTCTGAGTTAGACGTTTCTCTCTTGACAGGCTTTATGGTAGTCGGCCCTTTTACCAAACCCCAGTAACAAGGAGGAAAGTTTGATGCTAACGCGTTTCAAGTTATCTCGCTTTTTTTTTCTGCAGTGTGTTCTCTGATTTTTGTCAGTCCTTCTGAAGTCGGAAACGGCCCTGTGAAGGAGCATCTGCCTCCGGACTGATTCATTTTTACCTTTGTTATCTTCATTAAAGGGGCATTATGGAAGTTTGACGGCCAAAACATGTATAGAAATAATAAATTTCTTCTTCATACATTCTCCTGCAATGCCCTGGTCCTGTAGAATGAGCCCTGGCATTTTTACTGTGATTGCCTGTTTTTCTGTAAAATCACAGAAAAAGAGAGATGCTCGGGTCGAGCAGGCTGCTTCATGCGCGTTCACTCTCAGGCATAGCCCGTAGCATTTGCTATCAGTAGCTTTAGCAGCAGAGCGTGAGGTAGTGCCAACTCAGCGACTTTGTCGCTGTTTCTAACGCCTAGTGATGAACCTAGCTACATTTCTGAGGACCCTTAGCTACTTTCTTCTAGGTATTTCCTGCAAATTAGCAACAAAATAGCCATTTTCGCTCCGAATTGTTCTTTGAACGTTGTTTCAGCTGTCATCAAGGATATAAATTTTACAGATACATAAAACATCACAGGCGCTATAGCTCATCTAGTAAGACGTCGGACTGTCGTGCGGAAGACCCGGGTTCGATTCTGGATGTGAACATAGTTTATTTTGAGTTTAGTTTTTACATTAATGGTATTTTTTTTTACAGTAAGATGCCCACATTTTTATTTGAGACTCGCCGAACGGCATTGAATTCACAGATAAAAAAGATGTGGGTTCAACTTTCATTTTGGAACAATATTTCAAGCAAGGGAAGGGAATGATCTGAGCATGCAGGAGGACTGACCCATCATAAACCTTTGTCGGCTGTGCTGAAGAGAAAGGTACAGAACCAAATTATTTAATTAATTAGCTGCGCATTCTCCTGTCCTCTCTCCTCTGGGACACACACACACACACACGCACACACACACACAGCTGTTATTTTCGTTAAGGAGTGTGCACATACAGCATGCGCTCCTCGTGCACGAGCCTACTATTGAAGCTGCCGTTACACTTTTGGCCTGAGGGGGCAATCGTGAGCATAAAAATTCAAAACTCCGTAAAGTCCCTTTAAATGTTTTAAATCAGCAAACAAGCATTTGTATCGGCAAAGAAAACTGGAGGGAGTGCTGTTTTCGTGTGATGGTGTCCTCAAAAGAGCTGTCCTAAACCAGTCGGGTCCCATGTGGGATGAGGAATAGACACCCCCCTTTGAAATAGGCTTAAGGTGCAATTACTTTCTTCCTCGTCAGCTCCGTGGTCTCAGATTTAGAGGGGCTGATTCTCATCCCAGCTGCGAAGCGCTCCAGCGAAGCCGAAGATCACGTTCTGATGAAGCCAACAGGACCACATCATCTGCAAAAAGCAGTGACCTGATCCTCAGGCTCCCAAACGATCCCCTCAACACCTTGGTTGCCTCTAGAAATCCTGTCCATAAAAGTTATGAACAGAATCTGTGACAAAGGGCAGTCTTGGCGGAGTCCAACTCTCACTGGGAACGATCCAGACTTATTGCCGGCAACGTGGACCAAGCTCTGGCACCGTTCATACAGGGGTGTAACAGCCCATGTCAGAGGGCCTGGTACCCTGTACCCCCGGAGTACCCCCCACAGGGCCCCCCAGGGAATGCAGTCGAACACCTTCTCATGTAGATTGGTTGGGCAAACTCCCAAACACTGTCCAGGACCCCCGAATGGTAAATGAAATCATCATTTCCTGTACTCAGGTTTTTGTCTGAAAGGGAAATCTGCTGATTTAACTTCAAAAGAGCAAAAACTTTTCAACAGCACCAAGTTTATGAGAAGGCTGACGGGTGTTATTCTTCAGTCTGCAGTGATGTGAACAGATCCTTGTTTTACGCTGCAGTTAAGGTGACACATCCGTGCAGGTCGGCCATTTGTGTTATGTAGTTTATTTATTTAGGCTGATTTATTCCCCTTAGCTCAGCGTTTTAAGAACTCAGTTTTCTAAACCGCTCTTACATCTAATAGAGCATGCACTTGAATGAGGAGTACTCGAAGCAAAAATAAACAAATTAAAATCCATATTTTAGTTAATTGAAATGCTAATAAAGAGACTCTCAACCTCAGATTTTTGACAAGTGCCCAGCCAGAGCAGATTTGTGAACATATCCGAGGCATTCATTTGCTGGCTGGATGTAAATATTCTCATTTAGATAAGTAGCAGGAGGCTGCTTGGTGCCAGGATTCTGATTGCAGACATGGAGGTTAGACAGATGTGTGCAAAAACTCAAAGCTGCAGAGTTAATTGGCAGCTTATTGAAAAAGTCAAACATGGATGGGTTGGATGTGCAGAAGTAAGATGCTTGAAAACGTCTGAGTTTGGTCCGGTTTCAGTAAGTTTGTGTTATTAATGAGACGAGATGGGAGCTGGATCTGCTTAACGACTTTGAGGAGAGTTCTGAAGGCGGCTAGCCGTACTCCTCCTCCTGAGGGTGACGCTGCCGTAAAACGGGATGGCGCTCGTTTGTCACGCCAAGGTCGAAACTCGCCACAGGTTCTGCATTCACACACACCCAAGCCTGTGTGTGTGTGTGAGTGAGTGCTCACCTCCTCCTCTCCTTCGACCTATTTACTCTCCTCTAACAGTCGGTTATTTCATACAGTGGTGTTTGGCTTCACCCCTTTTGTCCTCCTGACCCCCTTCTTTCCTCCATGTCCTGTCCTTTCATCGTCCAACCCTTTCCTTCCTCGTCTTCTTAATTCTCCTTTTCTCTAGTAGCTTTGGTCCCCCCCCCCCCCCCCCCCCTCTTCCTCTTCTCTGATGCTCTCCATCCAGGGGCTGAGAGAAGCAGTGTTGGGTCAGAATCAATGAGAGCTATTTAAGCTGTTGGCAGGTCCATCCTGTGTGTGTGTGTGTGTGTGTGTGTGTGTGTGTGTGTGTGTGTGTGTGTGTGTGTGTGTGTGTGTGTGTGTGTGTGTGTGTGTGTGTGTGTGTGTGTGTGTGTGTGTGTGTTCTGTGTGTGTGTGTGTGTGTGTGTGTTGTGTGTGTGTGTGTGTGTTCTCTACATCTTAGGATATTTGTTAGTACTGTAACAAAATTAATCAGTGTTTTCTCTCGTCTTTTCTCTTTTAGCCCACCTAAGGTACCTGTGATTGTTTCTGGAGTGGTCACAAAGGTAACACACACACAGTTTAATCAAGCATCATGAGGTGGCTTTGATATAGGATGGAGCGCTACAAGAAGAAAGTGGCACAAGCTCAGTCTATGTGAAGAACAAGAGGTGAAGTGAGGAAAAAGAGATTTGGAGGAAAGGGTAGCAAGACATTTGTAATCTTCTGGGAGGGAAAGAAAGAAAGAAAGAGAGAAAGAAAATGTCACAATAGTCCCTGAAATAAAAGGTGATATTTAAAACTAGTCTTGATTTTGGCTGCACTTAACAGTTAAAGTGAACTGAGCATGGGGACCCTGCATGTCCTGTAATTGGACAGATGATACAAACGGTCACCAAAGAGTCCAGAACAAACGTTAAAGAGATTAGAGGTGAGCTCTTAGATCGAGGTTCATCAGCATCTTTGCTGCATTCCTGTTGAAACAAATAAAGAACCGAGAGGAAGTCACTAAAACCACAAAGCAGCTATAGAACGTCCTTTGGCCAATGAGACGAAACTGGAGCTTTATGATCTGACATAGAAATGAAGCAAAATAACACAATCTACTGTAGTATATGGTGCCCAAATAAAAGCAATCCATCTATACACACACACACACACACACACACACACACACACACACACACACACACACACACACACACACACACACACACACACACACACACATATATATATATATATATATATATATATATATATATATATATATATATATATATATATATATATATATATATATATGTGTGTGTGTGTGTATGTATGTACGTATATATATGTATATGTATGTATGTATGTATATATATGTATATATATATGTATATATATATATATGTATATATGTGTATATATATATATGTATATATGTGTATATATATATATATATATATATATATATGTATATATGTGTATATATATATATATATGTATATATATGTGTATATATATATATGTATATATGTGTATATATATGTATATATATATATATATATATATATATATATATATATACACATATATATATGTGTATATATATACACACATATATATATGTGTATATATATATATGTGTGTGTGTATATATATATGTATATATATATACACATATATATATATGTATATATATATATGTATATATACAGGTGCTGGCCAGTAAATTAGAATATCATCAAAAGGTTGAAAATATTTCAGTAATTCCATTCAAAACGTGAAACTTGTACATTATATTCATGCAATGCACACAGACCAATGTATTTCCAATGTTCATTACATTTAAATTTGATATTCATAAGTGACAACTAATGAAAACTCCAAATTTGGTATCTCAAAAAATTAGAATATTCTGAAAAGGCTGAATATAGAAGACACCTGCTGCCACTCTAATCAGCTGATTTACTCAAAACACCTGCAAAGGCCTTTAAAAGGTCCCTCAGTCTTGTTTTGAAGGCACCACAATCATGGGGAAGACTTCTGACTTAACAGCTGTCCAAAAGACAATCATTGACACCTTGCACAAGGAGGGCAAGACACAAAAGGTGATTGCTAAAGAAGCTGGCTGTTCGCAGAGCTCTGTGTCCAAGCACATTAACAGACAGGCGAAGGGACGGAAAAAATGTGGTAGAAAAAAGTGTACAAGCTCTAGGGATAACCGCACCCTGCAGAGAATTGTGACGACAAACCCATTCAAAAATGTGGGGGAGATCCACAAAGAGTGGACTGCAGCTGGAGTCAGCGCTTCAAGAACCACCACGAGGAGACTCATGAAAGACATGGGATTCAGGTGTCGCATTCCGTGTGTCAAGCCACTCTTGAACAAGAAACAGCGCAAGAAGCGTCTCGCCTGGGCCAAGGACAAAAAGGACTGGACTGATGCCGAGTGGTCCAAAGTTATGTTTTCTGATGAAAGCAAGTTCTGCATTTCCTTTGGAAATCAAGGACCCAGAGTCTGGAGGAAGAGCGGAGAAGCACAGAATCCACGTTGCATGAGGTCCAGTGTAAAGTTTCCACCGTCAGTGATGGTGTGGGGTGCCATGTCATCTGCCGGTGTTGGCCCACTCTGTTTCCTGAGGTCCAGGGTCAATGCAGCCGTCTACCAGGAAGTTTTAGAGCACTTCATGCTTCCTGCTGCTGACCAACTTTATGGGGATGCAGACTTCACCTTTCAACAGGACTTGGCACCTGCACACAGTGCCAAAACCACCAGCACCTGGTTCAAGGACCATGGTATCCCTGTCCTTGATTGGCCAGCAAACTCGCCTGACCTTAACCCCATAGAAAATCTATGGGGTATTGTGAAGCGGAGGATGCAATACGCTAGACCCAACAATGCAGAGGAGCTGAAGACGACTATCAGAGCAACCTGGGCTCTCATAACACCTGAGCAGTGCCACAGACTGATCGAGTCCATGCCACGCCGCATTACTGCAGTTATTGAGGCAAAAGGAGCCCCGACTAAGTATTGAGTGCTATACATGCACATTCTTTTCATGTTCATTCTTTTCAGTTGGCCAACATTAGAGAAACAAACATTTTTTCATTGGCCTTTAGAATATTCTAATTTTCTGAGATACCAGATTTGATGTTTTCATTGGTTGTCACCTATAAATATCAAAATTAAACGTAATAAACATCGGAAATACATTGGTCTGTGTGCATTGCATGAATATAATGTACAAGTTTCACGTTTTGAATGGAATTACTGAAATATTTTCAACCTTTTGATGATATTCTAATTTACTGGCCAGCACCTGTATATATGTATATATATATATATATATGTATATATATGTGTATATATATATATATATATATATATATATATATATATGTATATATATGTATATATATGTGTGTATATATATATATATACGTATATATATATATATATGTATATATGTATATATATGTGTGTATATATATATATATATACGTATATATATATGTACATATATATATATATATATGTATATACATATACATATATATATGTACATATATATACATATATATATATGTACATATATATATGTGTATATATATGTACATATATATATGTGTATATATATGTGTATATATGTATATGTATATATATATATGTGTATATATATGTGTATATATGTATATGTATATATATATATGTGTATATATATGTATATATGTATATATATGTGTATGTATATTATATATATAATATATATGTGTGTATATATATATATATATATATATTATATATAAAATACTGGAAATTTGGGAGAGAAAAAAACACAAAATGAGAAATTCTTAGGAAAAATAACTGATTACATTAAGGTATGTGACTTTTTTTCTCATCCATAATGATCAATTATGGTAAATTAGATTTTATTTTTGAAAAGAAGAAAAAAACATCTTTATAATCAAGAAAAACATTTTAAAAAATTGCAGAAAGACCGTGGATGTTTTTTCTGTGGGATTCTGACATTTACTGAAATGGATGTAAAAAAAACAATATTTCTGTTATTTTAAGTGTCGTTCTGTCGTGGAACTTCAATGCAAAAATTTCATGAGTACACTGAAAAACTTGTTATTTACCTGCATTTTTTATTAAATCATCTTTTAAAAACAAGTTTTTTTGGTTGCCTGGGAGATAAAATGATGATGTCTCATTAAAATGAGCATACGGTTAAATCCACATCTACAAAAAACTTCAGATTTTATTTTAAAAAATGTTTTTTTAGATTGTAGACAGTTTTGACCTTCCACTTTCCAAAAGCAACTCAAATTCCTGTTTGTGTTTTCGCCTTTCTTTTTATTTCTTTGACTTTATTTTTGTTCGAGCGAACGTGTCCTTGACACTTCTGACGGCTTCATTGCCTGCGTTCTGCGTGCTCGTGTCAGAGCAGGCAGACTGTTTGTGGAAGATTGCTGCGATATCAGAAGGTGGCAGGCGTCCCGTTTATCCCTCAATCCTTCCCATTCGCTCCTATCGCTGCCATCAGACCCGCGGGCTTGCGGCATACAAATCCTCCCAAAAGCTTTTTAAGAAGAAGAAGAAGAAAATATCATCTCTATAGCGCCTCTCAAGATAAAAATCACGAGGCGCTTCACAAAAACAAAAAAAATGTTAAAATATAAAAAAAGCATTTAGAAAATGTTTAAAAATATATTTAAAATGGGCAAAAATAGGCAATTGGGATTTAAAAGAAAAAATGTTAAGAAAGAGAGAGAGAGAGAGTGAACAGGAAAGAGGGACATCAGTGGATCCTGAGGAAGGTGGAATAGGTGGGGAGAGCAGAATAAAGAGAGAGTGGTGAAGAAGGTCATACCAATGCCAGCTTGAACAAGTGAGTCTTCAGCTGCTTTTTAAAGGAGACCACTGAGTCCACTGATCTCAGGCTCAGGGGGAGAGAATTCCAGAGTCTGGGGGACACAGCAGCAAATGATCTGTCACCCCTAGTAACAGGTCCGGACTTGTCACGGACAGGGTGGCTGCTTCAGACTGGTGAGGTCGAGTTCCGGACAGGGGGAGGGGGAGGAGGAGGGGACCGGGGGACGCTGTGCGCACCTAGATAGCTCGCTCCGGTAGCATGCGGCGAACCATGGCAGCTCGCCTCCTACGGTACCGTCTAGACGCGCGACGGAGCGCTTTACACCGCTTCACACCGCTTCCGTGATTCCTTTAACCATTGAGCTTCATCATCCAGGTCTCTTATGCGGCTTCGTGTGCGCAGAATTATGCTTAACATAAGTCCGATCAGTGAGAAGAATCCTACCTCTTCGTCTGCCCTGTTTGACTGAATGGCTTTGTTTGGGTAAATGACGCATGTACGCCCGCCGCACCATGTTTACGCAATATCTGGGTACAGCCTTCCCACCCCCTCCCCCTCAGACATCTGGAACTTCTCCCTGCTGTGTGAAGGCAGCCGAAAGGACAAGTTCCGGTACAGAAGTGGTGTGTCTGAAAGCACAGTTCTGGTTAAAAACCGGACTGAATTGTCCACACATATTCCAGAATGTCAATCTGAAAAGGGTTCTAGAGAGCTGTGATTGGTCAGCCAGAATGCTGTTAGGGGCTGCAGAGGTTCCAGTGGAGCGTTCCTAGATCAAACTTTGTAAAGCAAGAATTTTGTCTAGTTCACTAGGCTAGGAACGCACATGAATATACACTTAAACCTTAGCCTGGCAAGCCAGACTAAATAAATGTATTATTTAGTCTGGCCATGCTCCATTGACGGCTCTCGGTTGTGGGGCGGGTTCTACCGTTGTCTTTCAAATGATCTCCACATTCCACTGGACAATGAATGTGACATACTCTTGTTTCACTCTGTTGCATCATCCCACCCACCAGGCATATAGAGTGCCCTGATTGGCCCACAAAGCGGATAAAGCTCTGTGATTTGTTCACTAGCAGATAGAGCACTATGATTGGCCCACCATTATGGACCAATCACAGCTCTTTATGTGTTTGAAACCCCTCTAGAGAGTTGTGATTGGCTAGCCAGAGTCCTGGTAGGAGCTGCAGAGGTTCCAATGGAGCATGCCTAGACCATTCTTTGCAAAGCCAGAATTTGGTCTAGTTCACTAGGCTACTTAAACCTATGATCAGACGCTAATATCCTCAGTTTTCATGCAGGTCTGTGATGGTTTTATGTGCCTTTCAGAGTCTCCGTCTTCCTATTTTCTGTAATAAATGTGTTTCTTCATCTACTCTTGTGTTAAAGTTTAACGTGTTGGGTAATTGGTGGTGAAGCGTTGGCTCTTAAGGCTTTTATGCACCATTAAATTGGTGTTTTTCATGTTCTTTGTAATTAAGAGCATTCCATCCTTTCCTGGTGGTAATTAGAGAAATAAAACCTCATCAGATCTACTTTTCTCTGCTTCATAAAGCACGTTTTTGCAGATTTTGCTCGTGCGTGAAGACTGATTTCTGCTTGCTCGAGTGAATGATTGACCATGACTGTGCTCTGTTCAGGGCGATAAGGACTTTACGCCTGCAGCTGCTCAGGTGGCTCACCAGAAGCCTCAGCCTGGTGTCCCGAAGCTGCCCCCCGCCCAGCACTTCAACCAGCACATCCACCAGCCCCGGAAGTGAGCCAGTAGGCTGCCTCGGCTCTGCGTACTCCAACAGCCAGCCTTCCCAATGGAACACGAAAACAATGAAGATGCTTTCCAACCAGGCACAGACCTCTTAAATAATCTCAGTAATTTTTATTTTGTTTGCTTCCTGCTTTATATGTTGGAAATAAGTGTCGTAGTAGAAGTCCCCCTGCTGCCCCCCTGCTGCGCCGGTGCTGCACTACTGGCTCTGGACTTTTCCAGAGACTGTTTGGTATTCTGTTAGTCGTGCGTTGATGTAAACAAAGCCTTCCATCAGCAGAAAAACGTTTCAGACTTTTAGGGGAGCTATTACCTCAGCCATCCAATCACAGCAGCCATTTTTACTCGCCATCAAAACCTCAGTGATGAGATTCAGCTCCGAATATCTCCAGATTTCAAGAGCAGAAACCAATTACCAGTATTAACCAATCAGAGCATGTAGATTACAGCGGCATTCCATTTTTATTAAATAGTTCATTTTAACATGAAAAACTTCAAAAAGAGACTTTTTATTACAAATATATGCAGAAAAAAAGAGGAATCAGACCATTTAAAAGCAGCTTTGCCTGTGATGGCACCTATTCTTGGCAGTGTGAGCTAATTTTTATGCAAACTCAAATCTTTCACAGTTCAGTCCACCAGCTGCGTCTCAATGCTTTAATGCTGAGATTTGTGTGAATTTGCCTTTCATCTGCTAAACGGTAAAAACGATGCCAAAAATGTGACGAAACCTGAAGAAAAAGTCTATAAAAACACTTCCAGGAGTCAGCTGACTGATTTTTGTGTTTGCATCAACATTAGCCTGAACATCAAAGGAGCCGCTCATGAAAGCGAGCTGGGATTAGCTGTCAAATGAAGGTAAACACGTTAAGAGAAGTGCACCACATTCCACGTGAAAGTGTTAGAACAAAGATTATCAGCATGCAAAGAAAAATCTTTATCTGTGCTGGCAGATGCTAATCATCACGTATCAGAAATCTGCAGAATCCAGATTATTTCACACACACCGTTTTCCTTAATCACCCATCCCCTTACACTGACTCGTCAGCTGTTGCAACACTAACGTTCAGGTTTCCAGGAGAGAAGGAAAGAAATGTATTTTACCAAGAAGGAATCATTTTCTCTGGTGATGTAATTAAGTTATAAAGGATGCTTTTTACGTTCTGCTGTTCTTTTTCTTTAAGTGAATCAATGCAATTGTTCAAATCTTTAGTCATAAAGTGGGCTTGGGTTTTAGGTGTGGTTGTCCTAGTAAATAAAGATGGAGATGATCTAAAAAATAAACATCTTCTTGGTTTTTATTGCAATCACTTAAAAAGTAGCAAGATGTATGATCAGCTTGTAACATTTTGTGTTTTGCACTCTGGTCGTCTCAGGTTTCACACCCAGAGCATCTGAGCATCCCATGGTGAATTAGTGGCATGCACCAGGGGATTAGGGCTCAGGTGGTGCTCTAAAATGAAAGAGTCATCTCACCTAGGGCTGTTTTTTCCCCTGCAACACACACACAGCGTAGACCAGGTGTTGGTGCGTGTAATCCATCTTTACACAAGCATCTGCAACCAGGTGTTCTGTCAGCTTACGTTAGCCCGATAAAGCAGCCGGTGCAGGCTGGGTATGCAGGAACCTCGGCCAGCAGGCTGAAACTCCCCGTTAAAGCAGGAACAATCTCCTGCACTGTCTCGTTTTCTGCCGTGCCTTATTACAGCGAGGAGGAAGTAAACAAGAGGCAAGTTTTCTATAACCGAACATCCGGAACCTCCTGCTGTAAGAAAGGAAGCAGCTAATTCCATTTGGGCATTAATTCCCATATATGGATTTGGGTTATACGGCTAGCCATAATAGTATAAATTATATCACAGTAATTGGATCTTAAGGCTCATTTGCCTGTTTTTTCATTAAATCTGAAACGGCCTCTAGTATAAACAAACGCCTTGCACGTCGTTTTATGTTGGGAAAAAGAGCTCTGGCGCTCCTGTTTCAGGGGCTTCTGGCTTAAAATAGTATTTGGAGTTTTACTCATTATTTTCTGACATCTCTCCTTTGATTGGCTGATGGCAACTTGACGCCTCCACTGCCTCCGTTTGCAACATTTGTTTCATCTCCACAAATAACGCAAGCTTGAAGGAGGTCTGCCATGTTGTAGAGTTGCTAATGCTAACAGTTAGCTCTGCTGTTTCTTGAATGTTAAATCCATCCCCGATGTGTGAGTCCATTTAGACTGTGACGTAGGTCTGCGTGGCTTTTTCTGACTCGAGCCACGTGTTTCCACACCTACGTTGTATCAGAGGCTAATGTTGGAAATACGAGTAAAGACAATTTTCTCGTTCAGCGTGCATCAGAGTGACCGATCTTATTTAAAAGATAAGTAAACAAAAATAGAACATTTCCATTTTCTGAAATAAATGTTTAAAAAGTAGACAGATTTCACAGGACTCTGTAACTGTTAGCATAGTAATACTGCAGATAAACATTTTAGCATTTATTTTGAAAAGCAAAAAAGAAACTGCAGCTATAACACTCTATAATAACTGCTGACTAACAGTGATGTTTTTTTTTTTGTTTGTAGCTAATTTTAGCTAAATATCCAAAGTGTCAGCAGTTACAAAGATATTCTCCCTGGTGTCTGTCATGCTTTCCCCTCTTTTCCCAAACTGATGAACACCACAAAAAAGCCACTAAATCAAATTTGGCGTCAGCTTCAAGTCATTTTCATTTAGAGACATGAGAGCTGTGTCTACACCACCAGCTGTTCTCTGGTACACTCAGACCGGTTTTGTCTCGTTGAAACCTTTAGTTTACTCATTCAGGTCGGGCGGATTTAGAGGGTGTTTTTCTGATAAGGCTAAAATGTCAAAAGTTATGGTGACATTTGGACTCCAGTTTGACCAAAAACCTCCTCCCTTCTCTGAAGCTCGCACCACAAACACAACACCCAACAGAAAGTACTCAGCAGAGCCTTTAAAAATAAAGTCCGTTATCTGAAACTCCAGGGAGAAGATGTGCTTTTGTGTAGGAGAGCGGATCTCTGCCAAGTTTTCTTTCCTTTTTATCAGTGAGGCCACCTTGGATGTTCAGTTCCACTAGACTAGATTTGTAGGCGACAGCCTTTTATTCATGGAGTTTATTAGAAAGACTTTATCTTTGATTGTGATGCTGGAAATGTAATCATATAGTTTTAATTCCAGCAGTGTAATCAGACAGTGGTGCCCCTAGAGGATAGAATCAGGGGGGCATGGCCATCCCTTAAAAATTGCTGCCCCCATTAGTAATTTTCCATCAAAGAAAAGCTCTGGCGCTCTTGTTTCAGGAAGTAGAAGTTAGCTGGAGGAGTGGGGAGCAGGGTATTCTGACATCTCACCTCTGACTGGCTAACAGTAACGACTACCACTGACTATTTGTTCTGCAACGTTGATGTTTTATCTCCACAACTAACCTGTTGCGGAGTTGCTAATGCTAACAGTTAGCTTCTACTAGCTGTGATGTGCTCTGATGTTAGTTGGAAGTGAAGCCTTCCCCATCACGAGCCAAGATGGACGAATCCCTCAATGCCGATGCTGAATGCTCATTTTCAGTGTGACACAGATCTGACTTGCTTTTTCTGATCTGGCTGTTTACCCGTCTATTTCTGATCAGCAGCCAATGCAGGAAATGGGGGTAGAAGACTAGTTTCATGTTCAGCCTGCATGTTAAACTCTGAGTGACGACCATATTTCAAAAACAACTGGTAAAAAACTTTCTCTGTGAACTTGCTGTTGAATAACTCATTAGTTTTTGCACAAACCGTAATTCAAACATTTAAACTCAACTTTATTTATATAGCGCATTTAAACAATTTGCATCGACCAAAGCGCTGATTTGGTTGCTTAAGCTTTAGTGCACAGGTCGCTGCCACTCGTCGTTTTCACACTTTTATGAAAAATACGAGTGGCAGCGACCTTTAACATCCAGGGCTAACAACTTTTTAACTGTTCCATGCGTGAGATGGAGGGGGTTGGTGCTTTCGCCTCCGTCCGTGAGCTCGGGGAGGGGTTGTTGCATGCGGACCGCTATGCCTACGTCCGTGAGATATTGGTGGTGTGGCATGAGAACACGTGAAGAGGATCGGTGCGTCTCACGCTGAATGTGTGAGAGTTGGCAGCCCTGGCTGAACTCTTCTGAAATTCTAAAAAATAGTTTTAATAATAATTCAAATGATTTCTTTCTGAAATGTTTGTTTCTCAAATTAGAGGTAAACGTACTGATGCTTATTGTTTTTTAAAGAAAATGAATGATAATGCAGTCTACAGCCACAGGTTCAGCTCTCCGAGAGTTACCCTGAGGACCGATCTGGTGTGCCACCCCAATACTTCCTCTGGCCCCCCTATGACAAATTTCTAGGGGCACCACTTTGATCAGATTAGAATACATTCATGAAAAAGCTAAAATTAAATTATTAAATTTGATTCTCCACATTAAAATATGCCAAACTGATATAAATATGCATGTTTATTGTAGCTATTTGCCATTTATATGAACGGCTTTTCATAACCTGTTATGATCCAGCGTTTAATGTTCATCCAAAAACATTTTATTTAAATGTTTTACTTTTAAATCAAGAAAAAAAAGCAACATCGCAGGCTTTTGAGTTTAAAAAATAAGAGGGTTTTTTATATTTACCTACAAATACTAAAAGTGAAGAAAACAGAACATTTTACTTTGCCCTTATAAAAAAGGTAAAACAATTTTAACTATATGCATACTGCTCTCTGATCTAATAAATTATTTATTTATTTATTTTACCCATCTGATAAATTAGAAATAAATGTGTTTATGTGTACATTAACTCTAAATCCTGCTCAGAAGGATAATTTACATTGAACATTATACTTAAAGAAACCAGCAGAGGGCGACGTATCAGGATTTCCCCTCCCAAACTCAGATTTGACTAAACAAGTCAACCCTCGGTGGAATGAGGCCGCTGCGTGTAAATCCCCACCTGAAACATGAATCTATGACATAATAGTTGTCACGCTTCCTGTTTATGCGAGAGATCTGGGTTAAGATGTGGAGGAGGAGGGCTGAAGATGAAACGCTGACCAAGCCCGTGCTGCCTCGTAATCCCAGCCTGCTATCCAAGCCAGCAGATGTTTGAGCCACGATGACCTAAATATAATCTAATGCATTCAAGGACTAATAGGGTTTGTCTCTCTCTCTCTCACACACACACTTAGGTTTATTCCTCTACGTTATGTGTGAGAACAATCTCAAACATCCTCTGAGGAATTAATCATTTTTCATCATGGCCTATTAATTTGTGACGACTCGGAAAGCTGCTCCGTATGGGAACATTTCAGTTGCTTTGACAGAGAAAAGCCTATTTTTCTGTTCTAAACAACTGTGAACTATGTTATTCTGCATGCTTTTTGAGCCCGGAGTTCAGTAAATGTGCCGTCTGCTCCTCTTTTGTGTCGCTCAGATGATTTCCTTCAGGCACTGGCTAAGCACGCCGTCACTCCGAAGCCAGTGAAGTTTATTTGAAGAACCCGTTTGGCTGCTCGGAGCCCTCGTAACCCCTCAGCAACTCATCGCCATGTATAGTAGACACACGCTGCCTTTCGGGGAGCACTTTGAGCCACAATCACCACGAGAAATAAGGACTGTGAAATTGCGCTCTCGGTTATTCCACACGGCCGCCCTGCTCATGCCACTGTGTGTTTAAATCATGCTTATTTTTCGCTCCATTATGTTCACTGTGTCAGTGTTTGAACAGGAAAGAGACCCCTTGCTCTGTAATGAGTTGGCTGTTTTTAATCAAGAGAGGCTCCATATGTTAGAAGTTCCTGCAGGATTAGCTGTAGCGTCGCACTCCGGAAGGCTCAACTCCATCACTTAAGTTATTAGATTGGGTCTCCTTTTTTTTTACTGGATGAGAAATTAAACTGCTACAAAACTACAATTTACAAATTATTTCATTTATGAAGGAAAACGTCATCCAAACCAACCGGAGATCTGGTCCACCAGCCACGCCCAGTCCTGATTACTATTACTATTACTTCAATAGAACCTGTATGAGAACAAGTGGTAGGCTAAAAGATCTCAAAAGGCAATAAATCGCGCCACGTTCTAATGAAATAAGCACTATGGGAGTTCCGGGAAATTCCTGGGAGGGGAAAAGTGGCCGGGAGATAAGATGGTCAGTCTTCTCAGCCGTTGTGTTTCCATATTGATCCTTTCAGGACTTGCTAAGACTTCAATCAATCAATCAATCAGTCAAAGCTTTAATTATAAAGTGCCTTCCGCAACCCTGTCGGTAAGCCCAAGGCGCTTCGACTTCGACACATCGCCACTTTTTTGGGAGTGAGTGACCAAACGGCATTCGTTGTAATTTAATAACAGTAATTCTGTCAGAAAATGCAGCATTGTGGGAGGATTTCTGGCTCGGGTCACAAATGCCAGTTGTTTGGTTGTAACTTTGGCCGATGAAGCCAATCAGCGTGAATTAACCACAAGTCTGTTCTGAGCACCTTCACGAGTTCAGGTGCTTTGTTGGGTCCTGAAACGGTCTGGAAAAAGGTCCCTTCAGGCCGGCCCAGGAAAATGGACACATGTAAAGGTCCGGTAAAATGCCTCGGGTGTTTTGATAGTAGGAACAGAGAACCCTGCAGGCCTCATTGTGTTAAAGGTGTAAAACACCGAAAACCCACTTTTTTGTTCTTTGTTAAACACAGGAAAGTTTTTTTTTACTTTGATAACAGTTTCAATCACTCCTGCGATCTTCTTCAGAGCTAGCCGCTAATGACGGCTTCACCTCCTTCTCTGTTTATCCGCGGCCCGCGTTCTCCTCACCGCTGACACACCTCCATGCATGATCTAATGTGTGGACCCCCTAGTCTCTGTTCATGGTTCTGCTCCCACGTCTCTGTATTTCTATGGCCTCCTTAGTCCATCTTTTATATTTCTGTTGTTCGGTGGTTTTGACCCTTGTGTTGCCTCAGTCCATCATACGGTTTTCCCTTGTCTGTTACGGCTGATTTCTTTGAGCTTTCTGCTTCATGTCTTGCTGCTCGTGTGTGTGGGGGTCTACACGTTAGATCATGCATGGAACTGTGTCATCGGTGAGGAGAAGACGAGGTCGCCCTCTGCTGTCTGTGGATAAACGGAGAAGGAAGTCACGCCGTCATTAGCGGCTTGCTCTGAAGATCGCAGAAGCGATCTTTGTAGCAAGGTTAAAAAAAACTCTCCTGTGTTTAAAAACAGAACTTTAAAGTTTAGAAGAAAAACACAAAATGAATTTACAAAAGATTGAAAACCCATTTTTTTTTATTTTAGTTCTGATAATAATTAGTCACATGAAAATAGTCTCCTACACCTACCTCCTTCATCTGATATGAAACAGACGGTGAACTTTAGGATTTGAGAACCCTGACAGATCTATGTCACACTGTCACTTAACATTGTTGTTGTTTTAGCGTCCAGGAAACCGCAGAGAACGTCTCGGCTAGTAAAAGCTAGCTGTTAGCATTAGCAGCTCCACCACACAGCAGAAGCTCCTCCAGACTTGTGGCGTTTGTGGAGATAAAGCATCCGCGTTGCATGTCAGTGTTAGAGTTGCTGTTATCAGACCACTGCAAATGTATTGATTCAACGAGCGTTCCACACCTCTAAGGTCAGAGCTGAAGATCAGTGAGTGGTTGTTGCCACCTAAGACGTTATGATCTGTTGTCAGAAATTGGAAATTTGTTTGCATTTAGGTGTAATAAAAAGTAAAATCAGAAAGAAAATGTTCTAGCAAAAGCATGACTAAGGCTCAATCATCGTCAGCAAAATGTGTTTATTTCGCCCACATTTCCCGTCAAACTCACCATCTGTCTCTGCATGGTAGCTCAAGACTTAAATAAAGATGGTTAAATTTGGTTTTGCAGTGTAAATATTTGGGAAATTAAAACTTTTTCCCCCCATCTGGCAAGTTTCAATTATTTTTTCTGTATTTCAGTCTTTGACTCAAACATTAAAACTATTAAATGTGGCTTTTTTGTGTGGAGGAATCCACTTTCAGTTAAATAATGTTTTTTTTTTAAAAGCATTTAGATTCTGTAACATACAACATACAAAATACATTCAGTCTAAGGCTTTAAGCGTATAAAAGCATCCTAAAACGTCTGGTAAATGTGAAACTTGGTTTTCTCTTTCACAAAATGACTCCCTTTATGAAAATAATTGATATTTTATGACAACGTTCCAAAGCTATTTTAGCGGAGGCAAATGTATTATTTATTTGAAATTCTGTATAAATATAAAATATTACCTTAATTGATCTTTATTGTAAATATCAGAAGATTATAGGGCTTACCGTAATTTCCGGACTATAGCGCACCTCAATATAAGCCGCACCGGGCAAAAAGCCGCAGATATCTACTGAATTGAAAACGTAGTTTAACTGAACGTAACTGAACTGATCAGTATCAAACAAAACAGAAAAGTTATTGATTAGTTTATTCATCGCCCTGCGCACTGAAACCGCTGAAGTCATCATCTTCAGTGTCGGAGTTGAACAGCCTCAGAAGAGCTTCGTCGCATACTTTTTCTGTGTCGTTCTCTGTGTTGCCATCATCATCCCGGGGTGAAGCTGGGAAAACGAGCAGCGCCGTTTTACTGTGAAAAAAATCCTCCTAGGCGCTTTCCGTAGCACTCCTTTAACCATTCCTTCATTAGACTTTCCAGCATCCATCCTTTCTGGTTGACTAAAGCCGCACCTCATTATAAGCCGCATGGTTCAAAGCGTGGGAAAAAGTAGCGGCTTGTAGTCCGGAAAATACGGTAATCAGAAAATTCTTGGATTTTTGCTTTATTAAGTAATTATACACACTTCGTTTTGATTCAGAAAAGAGTCAGGTTTATGAAAGTAAGAAATTATTTTATTACAATTATAACATGATAAGTGAACTAAGCATTTTCTGTGATTGGATGGGACTAAATGCTTAGGGGCCTTTGCCTGTGGTTCCTGCCGTGCCTACGGGAGGTCTGCGGGTCGCCTGGGGCCTGGACCGGTCCCTGGTCATCTGTTTTCTTTCCTGAGGATCCTGTTAAGTGGGTTATTTTTTATGTTTGAGGAGCTACTTTGACAAATCTCTGGTGTGTGAGTTTGCTTTCCTCACTCCAGGGGCCTTTGCCTGGAAACTAACCTGCGCTTCCTCGACTGAGTCCCTAGGGCCTCTGACTTGTTCCAACCCGTGGTTTCTGCCAGGACCCCGTGCCCTTGGAAAGGGGGGTTATGTAGCGTCCAGCAATGGTCAGTTTAGGTACAGCCTGACCTTCCACCATCTATTCAACATCTGGTCAGAAAGGAGACACAACATTGCATGTGTTCCTTTTAAATGAGTCTGCCTTTACACCAGCTGGGATTCAGATAAACAATAACTTTCTTTCCCAAGGTCCCATCTGTCTGCCTCCACAGAAGAACTCCAGCTCGAATCAGTTGCTAAATTCAAGAATGATTTATTAAATCAATATGAACTTCTTCTATGACTTATAATCTAGATAATCATTAAATAAACATTTGTTTATTACTACTTATAATAATTATAGTATAATGAAATGCTTCACTAATCTGTGCACACTGAATGGATGTTATGCTATGTGTGTCTACTAGAACTCGCCATGTGTTCACCATGTTTTGACGACAAGGTCCTCACACCTGCATCCACACAATAACAAGTACGGTTAAGTTAACACTACAACACATAACTTGTTTTTTTTTTTTTTTTTTACCAGTCAGGCTTTCCGATATCAAAGAGGGTGTGTTTCTGAGTTGCCTTGGTAAAACATCTCCAAACTTGTCAGCCTCTGATTGGTTGTGCAAATCATAACAGCTAAACCTTAAAACTAGATCATTCTGAGAGATTCAACAGTTCTAGGGAATCGCTCAGACCGGCCATCTGTAGCAAAACCTCTTCAACCACCAAAGATTTTGATACGTCGTCAAAACCTTTTTGCACCTGCAAAGCTGATGAGCAAACAGTTCCTGCAGAAACAAAGCTGATATTGTTAGACTCCTTAAGAGTCCGCCAGACGCACGGTTCCATCCAGCTGTTGTGACCCGAGACATCTCTGGACTGGAGTCTGTACCACGGTTTTCTACAGCCCTCCGGTGCCAGCGGTCAGCCGACCCCTGTGACTTTCAGATCCGCCAAGAGGGTCTCTTTGAAATGGGCGAAGTAGACATGACAGATTGCGTCTGAATGTTCTTCTGATGATAAGAACTTTACAGCTTAGAGCAAACTAAATTCTTTTCACCAGAACTCAGCTTACTTTGATAAGGAAGCTCTGACTGACATCGCATTCACACACAGGTTCCTTCCTCACGTTTAGCTGCATCCACTCACAGTAAATGCTTAGTTAATTAGTCATGTTTTAAATTGCTTGTAGAATAGATTCTTACTTTTATAAACCTGACTCTTTCTTGAAGTAACACAAAGTGTGGTTGATCAGACGCTACACGATTTTTTCTGTTTTAAGCAAAAAGTTGAATGTGCTTCATGTGTTGGTGCCGTCCTTCGTCTCCTTCTCCGCTTCAGTGTAAAACATTTTCAATTAAAAATACAATAAATAATAATAAAAAATAAATTAATTAGAGATTTTTCAAGCAGAGAACTTCCTGGGATTCATTTTTTAACCTAAAAAATGGTTTGTTGCCGTAATGCTGTGAGAGTGGTGTCAGTCACTTTGTAAGTGGCTACTTGACATCATCTTTACATTTTTATGGAACAATCATCCCACCCTGGATGCATGTAGGTCAAAAAAACATCACCGAATCATTCTGGTGTCACGTCCTGTCCGGATTGAACCTTTTGCAGGATAAAGAGAAGTCGGTTCCCTGAGGTATACGTGTTATTTCCTTTTCCCTGCCGCAGTGTGTCTCCTGGTTGCTGCCTCCAGCCTCTTCCTCTCAGCCTCCTCTGCCTTCCTCCTCTCCTCTTTCACCTCCTTGTAACGCCACTTAGGAATCTGCAGAAGGTTCCCAGCTCCGTCGACGGCGCTGCTCTTCCTGCGGATTCGTTCCGGCTCGTAGGTGGGTGTGGGGGCCTTTGATATCCTCACTTTGGGGACGCTGAAGCCCGGCCTGACGCTGCTCCTTCTCAGCACCATGTGCAAAGGCAGCAGGCTGGTTCTCCTCAGCTCCAGTGCCTGAGCAACCACATCAAGACTGGAGCTCCTGTTCCGAGGCACCAGTCTGTGGACTTGAAGACTGGATCGGCGGTCCTCTGAGTTCTTGGCCACCAGGGTGACCTGAGAGTTTTGGAAGAATTTAAGATGGCTGTCCATCCTTTCAGGGTTGGTGGCGCGGAGCGCTTTGGTGCGCTGCTTACGGAGGATCTCGGGGACTGCGTAACGCCGTTTGCCCACACACGGAGGACTATCAGGACACACCTGTAACCAAACCAGTCAGCTTTAAACATCCGTAACATTAATTTATTAGCGTTATTCATCACTTTGACTGCTTTTTTTTTAAATAAAAAAAGACAATCATCTATTTGTATTGTGCAGCTTTTTTTAATCCTCCATGGATAACCTGCTTATCGTAGCAGCCTGGAATTAATTCTATCCTTTCATCAAGATGAACAGAGGATGTTCTGATACAACAAAGGATTAATGAGCAGCATATTCTTTCTTTCAGGGCTAATTACCTCCATATTTCATGAAGACACAAAGAACAGCCACAAAGTCCCATCTCCATAAGCTTAAAGCTCTGATCGTTCCTCTGAAGGAATCTTAGCTTCGAAATTAAACCATTTGTGCTTTTTTTAAAGTGAAGAATAAAGACTGAGATGGACGTCTTCACCTCTTTTAAGGCTTTAATACTCACAGTCCGACACGCCACGGCGATAAACGGGCTTCTCATGGCAGTCGTGACAGACACCATGTGATCGATGACTCCTTCGTCTTCTGGGTTGGTGACATTGGCGATGTTGAAGATGTTTCTCACGGTGTCCGACAGCCGCTTCAGACACCCGCGAGGCTCTTGGGCTTTGCTCACCAGGGATGCCAGCGGACGCCACTCTAAACTGAAGGGAGAGAAGCCGTTCTCAACACTCCAGTTTTGTTGTGTTTTACTGCGTGGCTCTGTGCATGCAGGTTTGTATCTAAAGTCTCCAACTAGCAGAAATCTCAAAGGGGGGGGGAAGCTGTAAATTTGTCTTGTGGGACTTGAATCTCTGCTTCTGCAATGATTTGTGGCGAGCTACATAGCTATCAGGGCCGTCGGTGGGGTTTATTTTTACAGAAACATCTGGCACAGACTGATGATGCTCTTTAGACTGATGACGCTGATTATAAAGCTTGTAAAATACCATATGTCTGTTCCTTAAGGCAAGAGGAACATTGTATGTATTTGCACAGCCACGTAATTCTCCATCTTCCTTCTACCTCTTAGAGATCTGCTGATGTGGGTTTTACCTGTAGGCATCACAGAACTGGGATGGACAGGACCGCTCCATCAGGCGCGTCATCACCCAAGCTGTTTCGTAGCGGCCTGTGAATACAGCCCACTCCCTGGGTGTCAGGTTGCGACCGAAGTCCCTCGCATTCAGAGAAGCTCCTGGAAGGAAAGGTAAATCTGAATGGAGGAAACGGAAAAGTGGTGGCCTATAAGTCTAGACAAAACATAGCAGTAGCTAACTATTTGGCCCTGCAGGTCGGTCTAGCCTCGCTGCACTGTAGCATCAGCAGGTCTACCATTGGCTCGGCTAAGTTTAGGCTGCACCAATCACAACCTCTATGTCTCGATGTCTGGCCAGTCGGGACACATAGTCCCTCCAGTGTGTCCTTCCTCACCAGGGAGGCATCCAGGAGGCATCCTAACCAGATGCCCAAGCCACCTCAGCTGGTTCCTCTCGATGTGGAAGAGCAGCAGGTCTACTATGAGCCCCTCCCGGATGACCGAGCTTCTCACCCTACCTCTAAGGGGGAGCCCAGACACCCTGCTGCTTGTATCCACGATCTTGTTCTTTCGGTCACTACCCAAAGCTCGTGACCATAGATGAGGGTAGGAACGTAGATCGACCGGTAAATCGAGAGCTTCGCCTTCTGGCTCAGGTCTCTTCATCTCAACAAATCGGTACAACGCCCGCATCACTGCAGACGCAGCACCAATCTGCTTATCGATCTCCCGATCTATCTTTCCCTCACTCGTGAATGAGACCCCAGGTACTAAATATCCTCCACTTGGAGCAGGACCTCATCCATGACCTGGAGAAGGCATTCTACCCTTTTCTGATTCAAGATCATGGTCTCAGATTTAGAGGAGCTGATTCCCATCCCAGCTGGAGATCACGGTCTTCCGTAGGTATGAATATGTCACATTGTTCATAGCTCTGATTGGTCCTAGCGCTGTCCAAATGCGTGTGGAGACAGTTTGATAAACAACCATAGATTCCACCCCTACAACTGAGCTCTATCCGTGGGCCATGGCTACACTATATTTTTACATATATGGAATGGCTATCCAGGCTAGACAAGTGGGATTGCAGTCCTAAAACTATCACAGGTTCATTTCTGACTGTTCTGTTCTGTGATGGGAACATCCTCTCACCTGCCATCATAAGCGAGCGCACGCATTCCACCCTGCCCTGCATGCATGCCTTCATCAGAGCGGTGAAGCCGTGGCAGTTTCGTCTCTCGATGTCCAGCCCAGAGTAGTAGTTCAGCAGATAGTTGGTGATTGTTATATGGCCTTTGTAGACAATTTCAGGTTTGTATTACAGCGAGTACAAAAACACCAAAATACTAATAAAGACGTGGAAGTCTGCAGTGGTTCGGATTGAAACTGGTCAGACGACACACGTGTGTGTTCAGACGAGAAGTGCTAGCGTCAACTTATCCGTGTGTTCGTCTGTGTCAGCGTTCATGCCAAACTGCCCGTTTATTGTATTTACGTGATCATGTGTCAAACAGTGCTGTTGGTTCCTGTGCGTGCGTGATAAGCTGTTCGCTTGTGGGCTACCTGCTTGAGCAGCTGTGATGAGAGCTGTGTTTCCTTCGTTGTCCTGCCAGTTGACGTCTAAGTACGGACACTGGGACAGCGCTATGACCACGTCCACAAAACCTTGGTAACATGCCACCAGCAGCCCTGTCTGAGATGAGTAGGTGACAGAACAAGAGGAAGCAATGGGGGGAAGAAGAAAAGGAAGTAAGGCCAAAAGATTAAAATCAGTAAATATTTATGAAGCTGAAGCAAAACACTACCGACTGCTGTCATATGAGAAGCGACATGGAGAAAAACGTGTGATCAAGGCAGAACGGGGTTAACACATGAGAAGTGGACCTTTGTGCATCTTCTAAAGGTGTTACCTGTGGTTAACCTGACATTTGTTGTGTTCTATAGTGAGAGACCTCTGAGAAAAAATAAGCCTTCTGTCCATCCCGTGTTGGTGCGTGTGCAGATGTGGTTCCATGTCTGTGTGTGTGTGTGTGTGTGTGTGTGTGGCAACGCACTTAGGGGCAGAAGTAGCTCAACAGGTTGAGCGGGTTGTCCAGTAATCGGAAAGTTGCAGGTTCGATCCCGGCTCCGGACAGAGAATTCTGCTGTTGTGTCCTTGGGCAAGACACTTAACCCACCTTGCCTGCTGGTGGTGGTCGGAGCGACCGGTGGCGCCTGTGCTCGGCAGCCTCGCCTCTGTCAGTGCGCCCCAGGGCAGCTGTGGCTACATCGTAGCTCATCACCATCAGTGTGTGAATGTGTGTGTGAATGGATGAATGATACACTGTAGTGTAAAGCGCTTTGGAGTCCTTACTCTGAGAGGCGCTATACAAGTGCGGGTCATTTATCGTGTGTGTGTGTGTGTGTGTGTGTGTGTGTGTGTGTGTGTGTGTGTGTGTGTGTGTCGCTGCCTCTTCACATACGTGTGTGGACAAGCGTGTAAGTGTTGGTGTAAATACTGGGTGCATTTTTGTTTTAAATGCATTTTCCCAAGCTTCATCACAATACAACAGTTATAGCAATACTGGACAGCAATATTTCTCGTTCGAAAATTTACGACAGTAGATCTGTAGAAAATACCAACAGATTTAAATAAATTCTATTTGGTATATGCTACATCAACTCCAACAAAGTTTGATCGATAATCACGCCTAAAAACAACTGTCTTTTAAATTGTTTAAAAATAACACGGGCACTAATATGCACCCTGTGGGGGACGCTCCAGGAGTATGGGGTGGGTGGCTTTCTGTTAAGGGCCATTCAGTCCCTTTACCAGAGGAGCGTGAGTTTGGTCCACATAGCCGGTAGTAAGTCGGACCTGTTCCCGGTGAGGGTTGGACTCCGCCAGAGCTGCCCTTTGTCACCGGTTCTGTTCATTACCTTTATGGACAGAATTTCTAGGCACAGTCGTGGTGTGGAATGTGTCGAGTTTGGTGGCAGGAGAATCTCGTCTCTGCTTTTTGCGGATGATGTTGTCCTCCTAGCTTCATCCAGCTCTGACCTTCAGCTCTTGCTGGGTAGGTTTGCGGCCGAGTGTGAAGCGGCTGGGATGAGGATCAGCACCTCCAAAGCTGAGACCATGGTTCTCGACCGGAAAAGGGTGGCTTGCCAACTCCGGGTCGGGAGAGAGGTCCTACCTCAAGTGGAGGAGTTTAAGTATCTCGGGGTCTTGTTCACGAGTGAGGGTAGGAGGGATCGGGAGATCGACAGGCGGATTGGTTCGGCGTCTGCAGTGATACGGACGCTGAGCCGATCTGTCGTGGTGAAGAGGGAGCTGAGCCAGAAAGCCAGGCTCTCGATTTACCGGTCGATCTACGTTCCAATCCTCACCTATGGTCATGAGCTTTGGGTAATGACCGAAAGAACGAGATCGCGGATACAAGCGGCCAAAATGAGTTTCCTCCGTAGGGTGGCCGGGCTCAGCCTTAGAGATAGGGTGAGGAGCTCGGACATTCGGGAGGGACTCGGAGTAGAACCGCTGTTCCTCCGGATCGAAAGGAGTCCGCTGAGGTGGTTTGGGCATCTGGTCAGGATGCCTCCTGGACGCCTCCCTGGGGAGGTGTTTCGGGCATGCCCTGCCGACAGGAGGCCCCCGGGTCGACCCAGGACATGTTGGAGAGGTGACATCTCCAATCTGGTCCGAGAACACCTTGGGGTCCTGCCGGAGGAACTGGAGGTGGCCGGGAAGAGGACGGTCTGGAGCTCCCTAGTTGGGATGCTGCCCCCGTGACCCGGACCCGGATAAGCGGAGGAAGACGACGACGGGCACTAATATCAAACCCTGGGGAACACGCATATTATTTTTTTAGTTGTGCTGCAGGAACAGTGTAACTGCCACATGGCAGCCAGCAAAGAAAAGGTGTGTTATTCTCTCTTCACCATCTTCAGTGGGACTGGTAGCACTGGATCCACCATTAGTGGTGGACCAGTCGAGCAGGGACCCACCCACAGATGTCTGTCCTGACCCTCGAGAGTCTGATTCCCCACCACTTACGTCCCACGTGAGAGACTGTTGTAACTTGCAGCTCACATATTAACGAAAAAAGTAGGGATGGACAATATATCGGCACCTATTTCGGTATCTGCCGATGTTAGTCATTTTTTTAACATATCGGTATAACTCCAACAAATAAAACTGGGCCGATATTAATAACCAATATTTTTTTCCATCTTGTTTCCATTTGTTCTGTTTCAGAGGGTGAGGGGGGTGATGTGTTTTTCTTTAGTCATGTGACAGTGATTGAAATCATCTCAGAAGCGTAAATGTGTGTGTTGTCAGAAACTGTTCCACATTTAATATTCCTCGAGCAGACTTCATTCTGTAACATTATGTTCTTCTCCTGAAATCACTTACTGTACAAAACCTGCTTAATACTTCATATTTGGCACCGTAGGCTTTCAGCTTTGGCTACGAGAACTAGGTGTCCCCCGACACTAGCATTATTATTTCAAGCACTCGGACAGATTTAATCAAAATCAGAGTAGTGCTGAAATTCATGAATTTAATAACAGCCAACGACTTGTGTAGATAAGACCCGACAGTTTATAAAATATTCAAACTTTATAGGCCCCAATACATTGTCATATATCCTGTGAAAAATGTCTAGTTTAGATGATGGGTCACATACAGACTTATCAAGTGGAGAACATGACATGCATTAGGGCTGTATTAGGAAAACCTGCGATATTCGATAACAATGATTAATATTGCGATGACGATATTACTTGCGATAAATAAAAACAACTCGGGAACAAAAATAATCAAAAACAAAAAAATTAAAAAATCATAAAAATGAGAAAAGCAAAAGATGTGAGGAAAGGGAAAAATAAAATGAACAAGAAAAGGCAATCAGTGGATCCCGGGAAAAGCAGAATCAGCAAAAACAGCTAACGAAGCTAACTCAGGTGTTCGCTAATCATCTAAATGAAGTGCCGTCCGCCTCGGGGGCAGGCATCTAACCTAAGAGAACCCACCCGATTGGCCAAATGGGTGAAGAGCTCTATTTGATTTGTTAAAAAACATCATGCTTCCATTTGATTGACAGAGCGCATCATGTGTAGCAAACATTTGAGCTGACCATTCGTTGCAATATTTATCAGTTCTTTGCGATATGCATATTGTGCATGCTGATATCGCGATAACGATATATTTGCGATATATTGTGCAGCCCTAACATGCATTCTTCATTCTTGGTGTAAATAGGACCACGATTTGCCCCCAAACACAAGGATCCAATAAATCATGCACGCCTCAACACAGCCTTTGGGTTAGTGTGTGGTAAAATCATTAGATAAACCAACCAAGTTAATGCAGTGTTTTGCCTTCAGAACTGCATTAATTCTTCATGGAATAGATTCAACAAGGTGGTGTAAACATTCCTTACAGGTTCTGGTCCACATGGATCGGATAGCATCCCAGTTACATCCACTTAATCCCAAAGGATCTTGACTGCATGGAAATCAGGTGACATTGGAGTCCAGTGGACGTATTATCAGTCTGAACCTGTTAGAGATGATCTGAGCTTAGTGACGTGACGCATTATCCTGCTAGAAGCAGCCATCAGAAGATGGGTCCACTTGGTGGTCAGGGATCCACGGTGGGTCAAGAAAATACTCAAATGCTTTTCCAATCTCTTATTGTCTATACTGTAGGTGTTGGTTGGTACCACAGGTTATTTTAGCTAATGTTGTTCTAAAATAGGGCTGCACGATATATCGGAAATATATCGTTATCGTGATATCAGCATGCACAATATGCATATCGCAAAGAACAGATAAATATCGCAATGAATGGTCAGCTCAAATGTTTGCTACACATAATGTATTCTGTCAGTCAAACAGAAGCATGATGCTGTTGTAACGAATCAAATGGGGCCCATTTGGCCCATTGAGTGGGTTCTCATACGTTAGATGCCCACCCCCGAGGTGGATGGCACTTAATTTTGACAGATAGCAAACTCCTGAGTTAGCTTTGTTCTGCTCTTTCTGCTGATTCTGCTTTTCCATGGGATCCATTGATCGCCTTTTCTTGTTCATTTTCTTTTTCCCTTTCCTCACATCTTTTATTTTTCTCATTTTTATGATTTTTTTATTTCTTTGTTTTTGATTATTTTAGTTCCTGAGTTAAGTTTTTATTTATCGCCAGTAATATCGTCATCGCAATATTAATCATTGTTATCGAATATCGCTGGTTTTCCTAATATCGTGCAGCCCTATTCTAAAAGCTTTCTATAGTCTAGAATCAGTATGCCCTGTATAATGGGACCTCAGACATCAACAAGACCTTTTAATTCACACAACTTCTGCTCTTCTCTCCACCATTCTCTCTGTAAACCTTAGAGCAGGGGTGCCCAATCCTGGTCCTGGAGGGCCGGTATCCAGCAGGTTTTGTGGTTTCTCTGCTCCAACACACTTGATTCAGAGGTTGGATCTCCTGTGCAGCAGTTCATCAGGCTCTACAGAAGCCTGTTAATCACCTGCTGATTGAATTCTGGCGTGTAGAAGAAGGGTTAAAACTAAAACCTGCTGGATACCAGCCCTCCAGGACCAGGATTGGGCACCCCTGCCTTAGAGATAGTTGTGGGCGAAAGTCCCAGCAGATCAGCAGATTTATACCAGCCCGTCTGGCAACTCCTTCCTCATTCTAATAGCCAG